TATGTTAAATATGCAAAAAATTAAACATAATATTCAGACCTAAATTGACATTCTAAACCATCTCAAAAAAAAAAAACAGAAACTAATACGTTTACATTTCAACTTTTGTTTAACTGGGAAAATGATTCTTTGAAATGCATAGCCTGCCACTAATATGTACTTTTATTTCATTTTGTTCTAGCTAGAGAATGTCATATTGGCATTTTTTATTTTTTCTTTTGTTACTTTTAACATACTGCTTGTTTTTGTACTGTTACATTTTAAAATTGAAAATGGACTGTTAAAAGTTGTATAGGACCAGTGTCTCATTAATTTGATTAATATATATGTATATTTATATGAACATAAGTATAAATATATATATATACACACACACATAGAAGAGCCACAAAGAAACCCATGACAAAATGAATGTGAATGTTCTTCCTAAAATATTTATTTAGAAAAATTATTTCATGTTTCTGCGTCTATCATGTAAAATTATTTTAGCGTCACATTATTGAGAAAGTTATTTAAAGAAAAACGTAATGTAACATTCAAGATAATGAGCCACAGAAATTCAGTTGGAGTTTTCACTGTATGGCATGCTAAGTGTAAACCCAAGTTAAACATCTTGTTAATGGCCATTTGTAAATTAAAGCACTACCACTGGTCAATAGTTTTGTATGATTAATAGAATAAAGAGATGTTATCTGCAGTGTGTGTAAGTGTACAATGTTGAGTTCTCCCAAGTTCATGATGAGATATGCAAATATATCAGTCATGGGCTGAAGAATGGCTCAAAGTACATTCTAATTCCACCCTACTTATGTATGTAGATGTTAAGGAACTCTTTTTAGAAATCTCCAAAAGGATTAGAGAGCAGTCTTCATCCTAGAGGTCCATGGGGGTAGATGAAATCACAGAGACAGGATAAGGAGAGGAAATCCATTGCAGAACTTGAGGCACTCATTTTTAAGTAGCATAAGATGAAAGAGCCAAATACCCAAATACTCTAAAGCAGTATTTAAATAAAAATTACCAATTGCCATTTTGAATAAAAAATGTGATGAATGTTGTCACATTGGAGAGGTTAAAAATGCTCCAGAAATTCACCACAGTATTTCACTGAAGGTTAAGTACTTATAGTGCAAAGATACTTAAAAGGGCAAAGCTCAGTACAACTGCAATCAAAGGAGAGAGAGACAATAGTGGTAGTCACTGCTAAGCCCCGATGATACAAAGGTGCCTAGAGGAGTTATCCAGTCATTATGAGAGTTAGGCAAAAATGCCACAAACATTTTCAGAAGAAACAGATCACCTCAGTTGGAGAGAGAACACTTTTGAGGAGCTGATATATAAATGGGCCCTGAAAAAAGTGTGGGATTGATTCCATGGAGTGTCCCACTGCCCAGGTCACGGTGATAGCCAAGTAGAGATCCAGCAGACAACTGGAAATAAAAGGCTGGGGCTCTAGGAGAGGCTGGGGCTAGATTTGAGTCATCTGCATCAATGATAACATTCTGAGTATAGCCAAAGAAGAGAAAACCTAAGGTAGAACCTTGGAGTCCACTGACTGAAAGGGCAGGACTTTGGAAACAGAAATGGGGAGGAGAAAAATCATGACAATAATGTCTTACAAAAGTTACTGGAGAAGAAAGGGGTGGTTCATATTTTCAAATGCCAAAGAGGTTGAGGAAAGGAACAAGATCATTTGAAATGGTCAATAAGGAGGCAACTAGTGACCTTGGAAAGTTAAGTGGAGATAATTCCTCAGTCTTTCCAGGAGGACCCTGACTGGAGGGAGTGATGCCATGACATGCAAGTGAATTGGACTTAAGTGAGGGAGGCCTTGTGCAAAGTCATCAGCCTCACTTTCTTCCCCAGAGGCATCTGGGTCCAGTGGCAAGATACATAGATCAAATCAAAGCAAGATTAAACGAAGCTGAGAAATAAGGAGCTGATGAGAAAATGGAGACACTGAGTGGAGATTCCTGGGAGTTTGGCACTGAAAAGAAAGAATAATATCTTGAGGATAGCACAATAAAGCAAAGATCATTTTTTTTTTTTTAGAAGACCAAGGTAACCCTTAGTCTAAGGGAAAAGTAAAGTGTATTTAAGGTGCTGGAGAAAAGTGATCGAGGAAGGTCAGGGACAAAAGTGGGATTCAGTCAGCATGACTTTGTGATTTCCTCCGGAGTCATTGGACAGAAACCAGTAACAGGGATAAATATCAGAAAACCTCGGGGAAAAGATTCAAGGCAGGAGAAAATGGCATTCATTACTTAAGTGGATGGTAAGATAGTGATGGTGGTTTGCCGAGGAAGCAAAGGACAAAAAAAAGTGTTGCTGCCACTTAGTGAAAGAACTCAAGATGTAGCAAGCTCGGGGAAATGGCAGTTTCAGTTAATCAAAATTTGAATTTTTTTTCTTTTGGTTTTATGCCACCACTTTTTCCCCGGTATCTCCCCTATATAACAATATTTTTTAAAGAAAAAAAAAACGACTATATCAATACATAGAAAAAGGCTAAAATTATATGCAGTGCTGGAGGGGTAAAGAAATAGCTTCAGAAATAAAGGGAATGTTTCCCGGAGGTGAGTAAATGAGTGTGTGCATGCGTGTGTACACGTATGTATATATAAATTTAAGGGATAATTTGCTTCCAATATTCTCTTTTGGATTTAACTTGTTACAGTCTTCAAATTTATACAACAACGTGTAGTGCAGTAGAATGAGCCGGGAATCTGCGGTTAATCAGCCCCGAGTTCAAATCGCATTTCAGGCACCTCCCACCCGTGTGACCCCTCAGCAATTATATTTAATTTGCCCCCACCCCAGTCTGATTGCTAATTTGAGGACGGGCCCCTTCCGGGTCCACATCTCCCATCCGGGCCTGACCCAACATTGCCCAAAGCCCGTGAGGCGGGACTATGCTGGAACCAGCTCCTCTTCCAGCTGATGGTTAAATCTTCAGTGAATATTCGCACAGCCCCTCCTCATCCTATAGTTAAATCTCATCTGGTAGTTAAATCTTCAGTGAACATTCGCACCTCGATGTGGACGCTGGCCAGCGCCACAGTCAGGGTTGTAAGTATCATTTTGTTGACTGCAGACTTACGGAAATGTCAGTAATGCAGTTTAGAGTAACAATTGCTTCATAAAGCACATTTTTCTGCCTGGAGAGCCTATTGTTAAATATATACCAACACACTCGTGAGTGTAAGAGAGCTTCCAAGTCCTCGAGGAGCCCTTCCTCCCTCAGAAACGGGAAGGGACAGGACGGCGAGCACACACGCGAAGCTAGAACAGCGCATGCTCAAAGAAAGAGCCGGCTCGACCATGTCGGCCCACCCCTTCCGGCTCGCGGCGGAAGCTCGCATCACGTGGGTAGGGAGGGTTCCGCCGATCTCGTTATAAAACAAAACAAAGCACGTTTCCCTCCCCCCCCAGACGCCGCAGCGCCCGCCTCGTTCGTGCTGCGCCGCTTCCGCTTCCGCTTCGCCTCGGAAGGGGGGGGCGTGTCCTCGGCGGGAGCGGCCATGGCGATGATGGCGATGGTGGCGACCACGGCGGCTGGCGGGCTCGGGGCTGCGCTGCAGGCGGCCGAGGCCCTGGAGAGCATCGTGAGCGGCTGCGTGGGGCCCGAGGGGCGGCAGGTGCTGTACACGAAGCCCACTGGCGACGTGTTGTTCAGCCGCGACGGGGGCCGCCTCCTGGAGGCGCTGAACGTAGAGCATCCCCTGGCCAGGTAGGGGCAAGCCCCCTCGCCCCGCCCCTTCTGCCGTCACTCCGCCGTCAGTCAATCATGGAACTTTTATTAAGCGCCCACTACGTGCCAGACGCTGTACTAAACGCCGGCACAGATAAGACCCGGCCCTCAAGGAGCTTGCAGTCTAAAGGTGGGGGGAGGGAAGAGGAGGGCCTGAAAAAATCACTTGTGAGGCGCTTAGTATGTGCGAAGTGCCGAGACACTAATAGAAAAGACAGTCCTTGCTCTCTAGGAATTCATATTGTGATGGGGAAGAAAACGATTATATATAGGACATATACGCAGCATAGACCTAAAGTGATTAAATAAATATATATGCAAAGTGCTTAAATACAGGCTAGTTTGAGGAAGGAAGGCAATAGTCGATCCTGTCAACCCCAATTATCTAAGGCAGCTCCTGTGTGCAGCAAGTTATACCATCTATTTCCACCTCTCCTTTAGAAAAAAAGAATAATACAATTAGCATTTAATAAACACTATGTGCCAAGCATAGTTTAAATCGATTATCAACCATTTGTTAAGTTCTTGCTATATACCAGAAGCTGGGCATACCAAAGAAATGACACATCTCTTTTCCCCAGTGAGCTTACATTCTCTTGGGGAATATCAGTTGCAGACAAGATAGAAAGGAAAAACAAAACAAAATAAGGTTGTATTGGTGGAGGACAATGACACGGTTCCTTACTTCAAGAATTTTATATTCTGTGGAGGAGATATCAGGTAGCCTTTACTTGGAAACTCTCCCCTCTTGCTGCCCTTCCTTCCTTCTTAACCCCCAAATTATCTTGTGTTTTGTATGAGGAAAGATAGAAAGATTGAGTCAAAATCCTGCCTCTTCCAGGGCCCTGTGACCCAGCCTCTTCAGCGCTCTAGTGGTTCTTAAACTGTGGGTCTTGAACCCACAGTTTAAGAAGTGCTGAACGGTTTGAGAGTGGAAAAAGTTTAAGAATCTCTGTGGAGTCTTAACTCCAAAGGCTTAAGTTACAGAGAAGCTGTTTACTTGCATTGATAGGGGGAGTTCCCTATACCAATGAAATCCATAGATTCAGTCTTTATATTTAGTATATGCACATGTATGTATATGTGTGTATAGACACGTGTATATATATTTTATATAAGTATATATGTATGCACACATGTACTTTTATATAGGCATATACATGCATGTGTGTATAAGCATGGGCATGTGTGTATATATGTTTTCCCATAGATACCTGTGTTTGTAAATATACATATACCCCAGTCTAAGTAAAGACTATGTTATGAGTGGAGAAGCAGGCATATAGCCTATTGCTACATAACAGGCTCCTTGAAGCCAAGAATTGTTTACCATTTGTCTTTGTTTACCCAGAGCTCAACAAAGAGCTGGACGAATATTAGGCATTTAATAAATGCTTATGGAGTGATTGAAGAATTCAGAGACTATTGAAACAGCACCTGCTGTTGGGGTACTTAACATCCTAATGAAGGAGTCAGCAGGCATGTGTACACATATATTCAAAACAGATCGAAGGTAACTCAGAGCCCTATGAGCTGTGGGGACTAGAAAAGTTCTTATGTAGAAGATGGTGTTTAAACTGAGTCTCCAAAGGGAACTAGGGATTTTCAGAAGTGGGAAAGAAGTACATCCCCATTTTCAGATAACTGCTAGATCACCTACCTCCATGCTAGGATTAGAACTTCACATGCTGTAAAATTTATTTTTACTAATTCACATGACATTTTGCTGCCCCAAAGCCCCACTTCCAATAACCTTAAGATAATATATTTCTCTTTTTCTAACCTAATTCTATCCCCCTTTCCAATGAGTTCTATTAATGTAATTGTATTACTTAGAGGAATATTATAACAAAGGAGTGGATCATCTCTTTTGAAAATTAAATAAAGGAAAGGGCAGCTAGGTGGCGCAGTGGATAGAGCACCAGCCCTGAAGTCAGGAGGACCTGAGTTCAAATCCAGCCTCAGACCAAAACACTGGACACTTACTAGCTGTGTGACCTTGGGCAAGTCACTTAACCCCAATTTCCTTTAAAACAAAAAAAAGAAAGAAAGTTAAAGGAAAATGTTTTCAATATAAAAATATAGATTTGTACATATAAGCCATGTGAATCTTAATTGCTCTATTTTTTTCTTTTTCAAACAGAATGATAGTGACTTGTGTTTCCAAGAATCGGAATGTGACTGGAGATGGTGCTAAAACATTCATTATCCTTCTTTGTGATTTACTTCGAGGACTTAAAGCAATCACTGATAAAGAAAGGAGTTCTTTTGGGGGAAGTATTCAAAGCCAAGAAAGACACTGGAAAAATTGTTGCCAGTGGAAATATATTTCTCAAGCCATTTTGACATTTCAGGCACACATATTAGACTACATTATGGCTCAATATTTGAGTAAACACTTTTTGTCCATCTTTTCTTTTTCTGGAGAAGAGAAAAAGTTTTGTAGGAGCTCACTAGAATTGCTATTAGATGCATATTTTTGTGGAAGAGTGGGAAGAAATAATCAAAAGTTTATTTCCCAGTTAACTTGTGATTATTTTTATAAATGTTTGAGCCATGAAGATGGTAAGAATGAAATGATTGATTTAGTAGATGAATATTTTCTGGAATTGTGCACTGCTGTTACAGGACTTCCAGTTTCAAGTTCAAGAATCATATCAGGGTTTGTTATTCATAGAGATTTTTCTGTTTACTGCCCAGCAGATGGTGACATGAGAATAATCATTGTAACCGAAGCCATTCAGCCTGCGCTTTCCACCTCTGGTTCTGAGCTTGTTGTAAAGTCAGAAACACAGTTTCAGGCATCTCACATTTGGGTTACAGAAAGGACAAAAACCATAATGAACGATTTGCAAAGTAAAGGTATAAAATTGCTTTTGTCTAGTGTGAAGCAACAGGATGCAGTTATTTATTATGCAAAACTGAATGGCATATCAGTGGTAGAGTGTATACCATCAGAAGAAATTTCTCTCCTTTGTAGAATCATTGCTCTGTCACCTTTTTTGCCATCATGGGCCACTTCACAGTGTCACATCTCTGACGCTGCATTAGTGAAATTTTGTCAGCCCATTTTGCTTAATTCCAAAAGGTATGTTCATCTTGACTTACTTAGCACACACTCTTTTATACCCCACTGTTTGGTTCTTTGTGGACCGGTCCAGGGTCTTACTGACCAGCATATTCATGCTTTCCATGGGGCATTTAAAGTACTTCGACAAGTCTTTAAGGTACTTTATCTCAGTTACAAAGTGCAAGGAAACATCCAAAATGAGACCTCAAATTCTGTTACTCCTAAAGATAATAAACAAAGCCACCATTTGGCAGAAGTTTATAGAGCTTTGTTTGAAAGACAGTGTCTAGGCTCAGTTTTAAAGAGTGAAGGTAATCCATCAGGAATGCAGTCTCATTTAAGAGTCACTCCAGATTTGGTACTGTCAAGTATAGAATCAGAGAATAGTATTCCAAGTACAACTCACACACACAAAATTAAGGGGAACTTTGAATCCCTAATGTGTACTTATCCCAACAAAATTGGGATTAGTAATGCCAAGGAATCGATTGTAGCTATCAGATGTGATTGTGATGGTGATTCCCTGATAAAAATTCCTGATGAGCACGTAAGTGTCGTTGAACAGACTTGCAAAATCAGCAGCTGTACAATCATAGGCATGACATCAAAGGAGGTATTTCAGAACGCTTCAAAAAGTTACTGTACCTCCTTTATACAGGCTGGTTCTGTTTTACCGGTAGGTGGTCACTTTGAGATCCTATTACATTATTATCTTCTTGATTATTCCAGACACTGCCAACAGCCAGAAGTAAGTATGATTAGTTCATTAATAGCTAATGCACTGCTGAGTGTTCCAAAAACCCTTTATAAGGCTAAGAAGGGAAATAAAAGCTTTTGTCATGTGTACTTAAGGACTTTGCATGCTCTACAAGCTAAGCAGTGGATGGCAGTGAGTCAAACAGGCCTGGAATCAGTAGCTTGTAAATACCAATTACTGACATCAGTGCTTCACTGCTTGACAAAACTGTTAACTATTGACTTAGTCATCAGGATTAATAAACAGCCACAAAAGACTGGTGATGATGAGGCAGAGGAGGATGTGTGAAAACAGTAGTTTTGTTCTCAGTGGGGTTTTTTAAATCTGCCTTAGTCTATAAAAGACAGGTAGAGAGCTGTCCTTCAGCCTAATTCTTTTAGGCTCTCTCAGATGAAACCATGAGGTTATATTAGTCATGCTGGTGCCTAGAATGATAAAAAATGCAACATGGCTTTTCACATTAGTATGGTCCTAAGCTAGGAATATTGCTCCTTGGGAACTATATTTGTTTCTTTTTTTTCTATATCTGTTCTTGTTAGTGTATGTACGTCAGAGGGAGAAGGGTGGTAAGACGTTTTATCTATCTCTTCTTCTCTTTATTTCCCTCTTTCCTATTCCCTTTCTATTTTTGTATATTAACTGTCCATAATATAGGTCAGAAAAAACATTTATATTTGTTGTACTAATTAACTAGCACACTGTAAAATTTCAAAAAAAATCAGGGTTTTTTTTTATACCCTGATGTTAATTATAGTCATTTCCGCTACTCTATTTGTTCCATAGCCATATTAGTAAAGAATGATTTCACATAATTTTGTTATAGTTTTATTTACATTTCTTCTTCAAATATTGTCCATTCTTTCATAACCATAAAAGTATTGAGTGACTTTGGGTCATTGATAGGAAAAAAAATTACTTAGAAAATTTACACTTCCAGTTTTTTTCTCAGAAACTAATGGCTCTAATATGAGCAGAATAAACAGTTAGCCTTGACTATAGAAGTATAGTTATATAATTGATATATTTTCTAGTTGCTTTGCCTACTATGGTTATTACCTATTGTTGAGTGGTAATATAACTTGTAGATAATCAAATGACTTTAAAATTTATGCTATGAATAGATACCTTACATCACATGCGAACACTGAAAGAACAGTAAATCCATTTTTAGATAACCTATTTGTAAGTATCCTCATTTAAAAATTTTTTCTGTTATAGGTAGTTTCCAAGTTATTAACCAATTTCTATAGAAGTTATTTGGAACTACATACATTTTCCCCTAGAAACAATGTAAATGGTACTTGTGTTTTTAGTGCACAGTATTACCCCTAATATTAGGCCCATTGTGGGTTTAATAAGTGTTCTAAGGTTTACAAAGTTATTTTGCTTGCTGTGACCCCAGGTTATGATTTCCATTTTGCAGTAGAATTCAGATAGGTTGTGATTTGCCCAGGGTCATATATCTATCTAGCCACAATCAGAATTTGGATATAAACTTGACTCCATCTTCAGAGCACCTTCCATTACACCACACTGCCTCTTAGAATTGTTAATAGTGTAGCAATGTTTCTGTGGGAAGATGCATTCAGAGTCCCAAGTTGTCAGGACTGCACTTCCCCATGAACTCTATAGAGCTCCCTTATACTTGGGTGAAAGCTACTAGGAAGGGACCCATGAGGTTTGAAGTGAAGGAGGAAGATATAAAGAGCGAGAGAAGCACGCTACCTGGACTTCACCAATTCACCTGCTTGATACCAGTGTGCCCTTTCTCAGGTCCCCAGGGGCTGGCTCACATGGGCCAGTTGCTGAATTTTTTCACCTCGACCTCCACATCCATCTCATAAGGCCCCCGTGTCTGCTGTCTACCTGTATAGCCACTCCACTAGTTCAGACCCTCAGACTATTCCTACGCAAATTCATCCCAGCACAGCTCTCAAAGTGAGTTTAAGTTACGATCTGACCATGTTGTTACTCAGTAAATTCCAGTGGCTTCTTGGTCACCTCTAGGACAAAATAGAACCTCTGTCTGGCTTTTAAAGCCCTTCACAACCTGGTCCCAACCTGTCTTTCCAACTTTAGCATGTATTAATTATTCCCTTTCCTGAACTCTGTCTAACCTAACCGACCTTAATTTTTTTTTGTCTTTTATTCAAGGGCACCCCATCTATATCTCTGCTTTTACAGTAGTCATCTGTCCTGATCCACCCTCATGCCTGCAGTGGACTCCTCCAGCCTTACTACTAACTCTCTTGCTTCCTCTTAGTATGCAGCTCTAACACCACCTTCTACCCTGTCTCATTTACGTAACCCTAATGTTCTCCCTAACTTCCTTGTAGGTTAACATAAATGACATCGAAATTACTCAGGTACTAAGTGTCAGGTAAAATTTGAACCTAGGTCCTCTGACTCCAGAGCTAGGATTTTTTCCACTGTACTGCAGTGCTTTGTGGAGTCATTGATGCCCGTAGTAAAACAGACTTCTTGAGATTATGGCTTATTTCATTTTGTCTCATGTCTCCCTGCTACCTAGCATAGTACCTGATACATAGTGTGAATTTAGTAAATGCTTGTTAATAACTTGAGTCCCTTTTTATTGCTGGAGCTAAAAGTCTACCTCCCAGCTTTTCTTTAGCCTTTTTTTTTTGTTGTTCAATTTTTCAGTTGTGTCTGACTGTGAGCCTGTTTGGATTTTTTGTGGCAAAGGTATTGGAGTAATTTGCCTTTTCCTTCCCCAGCTCATTTTACAGATGAGGAAACTGAGACATACAGGGTTTAGTGACTTGCCCAGGATCACGACAGCTAGTAAGTGTCTGAGGCCAGATTTGATGAGTGTTCCTGATTTCAAGCCTATGGCCACCTAGCAGCCCATTTCTTCAGCTACTACTTCTCTTTTTACTTAGCCCCTGAAGAGGTTGTGCTTCCAATCATAGATGCTTAAGAGTTGGAAGAGAATTCAGAAGTCACCTAATCCAACCTCTCTCCAAAGCATCAATCCATTCTACAACATCCTGGATAAATGGTAACAGGTAGCTAGGTGGTGCAGTGGATAGAACACCAAGCCTAGAGATAGGAAGACCTAGCCTCCAACATTTAATAGGTGTTACCCTGGGCAAGTCTCTTAACCTCTCTGTGTTTCAGTTCCCTCATCAGTAAAAATGGGTATAAGTAATAGTATCTACTTCCCAGGGTCATTGTGAGGAAAATAAGATGATACTGTACAGAGTTTTGTGAAACTTGAGTACTATAAAAATACTATTATCATTTATTAGGAAGCTTTTCTGTATGGAAGCCTGGACTTGGAGTCAGTAAGTTGGGTTAAAAACTGTATTCAGAGATCAAACCAGCTGTGTGACCCTGGGAAAGTCACTTAACTTCTGTTTACCTCAGTTTCCTCATCTATAAAAGAGGGATAGTAATAGCACCTACTTCCCAAAGTTGTAATGAGGATTAAATGAGATAATAATTGTAAAGCACTTAGCACATTCCCTGGTACATAGTAAAGGCTACGTACGTTAGGTGCTATTGTTACTAAAATCTGTGCCCCTGTCTATAATTTCCACCCATTGGTCCTAGTTCTGACCTCTGTTACCAGACACGTTAAAATCTGCCCACCCTTTGAATATTTGAAGGCAGTGATAATGTCACCAATCCTAATTCTCCAGGTTTTTCCAACCAAGCCTTGAATGGTATGATTTTAGTCCTCACACCATCCTAGATAATCTTTTCTGTATGTATGTGCCACTGGTAGAAGCAATTCATTGGCTTGGGGGCCTGGATGTCCTTTGGCCTTGTCCAGATCTGGTATTTTGCAATCTATAATTTCCTGGGCCTTATATTCCTCTCAAACCCCAACTTTGATAAGAATTGGTCATTCCCATCACTGTTATGAAAATTCTGTTAGGATTAGGCATGAGAGAAATATTCTATCTAGCTCATGGCTTAGAAAAAGGTACGTACAATTCTGGGCATATTTTCAGTGTTTTGGGCAGTCTGGCCTTGCAGGTGTCTAGATTGACCTTACCTGTCATAATGAATGAACCTGATTATCACCATCTGCATCCAAAACCCAGGAGGGACCTGTGTACTGGTAGGTGTGTATATGTCAACAAAACCTCATCTCTTTGCTCTGAGATCAAGAACTTAGGCCCTGTGCATTTCCTTGTTTCCTCTCCTACCCCTATGTTTATGTCAGCAAATTCTGCCATTGATAGACTGCCCAGTTCCGATGAAGAAATTGTAGGAACTATCTGATGTTATGCTTGGTACTCTATCTGCCATTTACAAATGTTGGGTAGTAGTTGTACCTCTAGGCTTTTCTACGTCAGCTAGAACTTGGCCATAAATTGAGTCTTCCCCCACTTCTGAAACAGTGCTGTAGCCCTTGAGAAATACACCCACCATATGATCTATGATGGCAATATTGGGCAGGGAATCAAGTGACAGTGTAGAGGAGTGGTTAACTGGTACAAACATGGAAGGATACCCTTAAGAGGGTGACAAGTTTGAACATGAGTCACGTTTATGAGAATTTTCCTCCATCTTCTGCAGGGCATATTTGCCTGCCATGCCCACGTTTTTCACCTCTACTTGTCAGTTTCCTTGACTTCTTTTAAGCTTTAGCTAAAATTCCACCTTTAAGCAGGAGGCCTTTTGTAGCACACATCATCTCCCTCCCTCTGCCGCCTCCACAGCTAGTGCCTTCCCTTCTGATTACATTCTATCTACTGTGTAAATAATTTATATGCACCAAGTTATTTCTATGTTGCATCCCCCATTAGCATATGAGCTCCTTGAGGAAAGGGATTGTTTTGGCTTTTCTTTTTATTCCTAGAATTTAGTACAATGCCTGATACTCAGTAAGGGCTTATTGACTCACCAACTCATTGTTAAACCATTGGACATGTCAGCAAATATGTCTTGTTTCATCCAAGTGAGCTTGAGTGACATATTCAGCAAAGTGTCGTGGTGGGCATGGATAGCCCACCATATTTCCTTTAGCTGTGATGGAACCACTACTTGAGATGGTATTGAAGTCATAACTTCATTATTTTCCTGGCAAGTCCATAAAAGCACCAAATGTGTTGCCAGGCACTTCTAAGCATTAGGTACAAAGATGAAGACAAAACAGGCTTTGAACCCTCAATAGTTCCCCCCATAGGGGAGAACAACATGTACGTCATCCTTGCCTCTGCATTAAGGTTTAGTTGGCTTCTTCCTCCATTTCTAGATGATGTGATAAAACATTCATTAATTTTTTTGTGGTCCCCTGTAAGGTACATCATTTTCAGGAAGAAATAACACACAACAATAAAGCAAACACTATATACAATGATGGCTGGACAGAATTGGGATTTCTTTGAAAAGCAGTAAATTCTTGTGTTTTGTTGTTGAAGGCCATTCCCCTTCGAGGTGATGTCTCCAGTGCAGTCTTAATTGCCAGCACTTCCAGATTATGGCCCTGTAGATACCGTATCTCTGCTTATCATTCATTTCTTTTCTTCAGTAATAAGGCAAATAGTGCAATGAACTGGAAGTGACCCAGAATAAATTACCTGTAGTAATTGGCAGCTTCTAAGTTGTGGTATGTGAATGTAATGAAATATTCTGTGCCATGAGAGACTTTGAATATGAATAATCTGGAGAAGCAGGAGAAGACTTGTATGAACAGACAAAATGAAATAATCAGAACCAGGAAATGACTACAACAAAACAAAGCAAAAATCCTCTGCTAGGCCAGGCCCACCTAAGTTGGTGGAATGAA